ATACGACTAAAACAACAGTTGGATAGCTATTCCCTACTTTATTGGTTAGGATTTTTAATTGCATAATGCAAACTGTTGATTTTCAAAATAAAATAAAAAACGTTCAAGCCCCGCATTCCAATGCTGGAGCAGAAAAGCTTGAAACACCTACCAAAACACTTGAATAAAGACATACTGTCAGTATGGAAATGCTCTGTGCAGGTGTTAATCAAGTTAAATCCCAACAGCCAATCAGCAAGAAATGCTCTGTGCAGGTGGAAATGCTCTGTGCGCGTGTTAATCAAGTTAAATCCCAACAGCCAATCAGCAAGAAGTATAGAGGAAAGCTGCATGCCTATTGGTTGATGCCCTGCATTCCATTGTGATGGCTCATGCCCAGACGTGGTAAACACGGCACACTAACACAGTAATACATTTGCTATAACACAGCCAAAAAACTCAAATAAAACCATTCTAAAAGCCTGTATCACAAAAATTTAAAAAACACCTAGGGGTATTTGCCCACTGTACCTCCATACCAAATTTCAGGACCTTAGGCCCTAAAATGAAGAAGCTGAATCCATTTAAAGATATGGCAGGAGGAGGAGGAGAAGGAGAAGGAGAAGGAGAAGAAACATCAGAAAAAGCAATATGGGTTCACCACCACTTCGTGGTGTGGTGAACCCATAAGTACTAAATGTTGCCAGAAATAGCGCCAAACGCCGGGAATGAACCTGACCCTTACTGATAAATTCTATTCGTGAACCTTACAGCAGGGGTAAAACTCCATTGAATTGCAGAGGAAAAATTGCAGAAAGTTTGTGTACAAAATTACAATTTACAACGGACAAGACTGGCGATATATACATGTACATCCCTCATATACATTATTTTGCAAACCTTCTGCCTTTTGCACAGATGAGGTTCAGGAAAGATAAAGCATGAATACTGATATGACAGTTCTGATTGGAAATCACATTAAAACATATCTTACCTCATAATAGCAAAGTTCTTTGATCACAACCATTTCTTTTTTACGAGTCGACGTTTGGATGACCGTCTGTCATCTTCATCAGGGCAATTCTGACCGGTTTGGTGCACTGACGCTAGATGTTACTTGGTGCACAGTGCACTAAAGGTGTTACATGGTTCACAGTGCAACATCTACTGTCAGTGCACAGCAAACAAGTCAGAATTACCCTGATGAAGATGACAGACGGTCATCGAAACGTCGGCTCGTGAAAAATAACCGGTTGTGATAAAAGAACTTTCCTTTTCATTCGTTTACCAACCTGATGAAATTATTTACGGATATCTTACCTCAGTTAGAGTCAGCCTGTGTTCCTACAAACAGCCTTCTGCTCACCTCACCTCGCAGCCGGACTGAACCTGGCTTCTGCAGAAGTCAGTCTTCCCCGGGTACATATACGTGTTCTCTTTCTGGAGTGGGAGCCAGTCCTGAGGGACATACGCACTGCACTAAGCACGGCTCTCATCCCACTACCTTTCCTGCAGTGAATATTAAGTCTAAAGTTGAACCTTTATGATACAAAATTAAGTCTGCAGGATTTCAAAATAAGCTTTTAGTTTTAGCCTTAATGTGCCTTAAGGCTAGTTGCAGGCGGAGGGGATATCCCGGAGGAACTTTCCGTGCCACTTAACGTTTATTCATGATTGTTTTACTTACCTCCTAAGGCAATTTATCCAACACTCATTAGCATGTGCGTAAATTGAAACGTGATAGGGATGAAACATAATCAGATATATATCACTATGGTTTTACTTCATGTATTAATTTTATCTGGTTCCTTTTCTTCTAAATATACTCGTAAAATCAAAGCAACTTTACTCTTCTTGCTTATTTCGTATTTATTTTTTTTATCTTTAGACAGTTGGGTAGTACCTTCAGCTATCTCCAAGGTAGCCCAACAAAAAAGTTACAAAGGAAATTATAGACATAAATCAAATCAAGTCAAATACATTGTGGGACAAAATTAACCTGATAATAATAGAAACTTTATTTGCAAAATCATGTCCGAGGGCTAATTGCTTTTATAATCAAGTATGATACTCATTGCAATACAGCAACAGGAGACAGGTAACAACTGTCTGGAAAAAGGACTTCTACTATAATGAAATAATTATTGAGATGCATGACGCCTCTGTTGCAGCAAGACGCCTGCAAAACTGTACGTTTTCTGTACGTCAACGTTTGGTAATGATGGCATATTGCCCTGGGCTACATGTGTATGTAAGCCCCCCCCCCCCTTCGGGATATGATGACGCAATCTGTAGAGTCAACAGGTTTGTTTGTCGTCAGAGTTAAGTGCAGCAAATAATGAACATCAACTTAGAACATTCCTCTTGATACTTTATTAGGATATCTATTATGCAGCAAGTTTAAACTGTAATTTCCAACACAAGAAATTGGACTCGACTGTACAACTCCTTCAGTCTTTGTCAAGGAAGAAACAATCCACCAAAAAAAAAAATGGACTTGTACAGTCGAAGATTTGGCTGAGTCCAATTTCCTGTGTTGGAAATACAGTTAAAACTTGCTGCATAATGACTTCTACCAACACAGATGGACTTTTAAAAAAGGATATCTATTTGTTGCAAAAGGAACTAGGTTCGATTTATAAAACAGCTTGAGAACAGGGCTGTTTGATAAAAGTTTTGTCAAAAAGACAGAGACAAATCTACAGACACATACGGAGGTAATAGCCTAAAACGGAACCAAATTGAACGTATTAAAGGCACGCGATGATATAATATATTGAAATTACTGAACTATACAGCAACGATATTTCGTATTCGCAAAGAAGCGCCTAAATCCTCTTAAGAAGTTGTATATCTTTAAGAGGCAAATGAGACTTATCGCCAATTTCTAGCCACCTTAAAGCAATATCCAATAATCTCATTGGTGCTTTAACGGGCACTTAACGGTTTTTACCGCCCATTTGTCGGTATTAAGGGGCCGCATGACCAGTGGGCGTGGATATCACAAGGTTTACGTTGGTAAATGTCCACCAGCTCGTGAATGTATAATGATGCATGATATTTGATGGCAACGTATTGTACGGTATTTGTTATGTGATGTATGGTGTTGTATGATCTTGTATTCCATGCTAAGAATGTTCGATATTGTCATCTTTTTGATCGTTATTGTATTGTTCTGCATTTATTGTATATTGGGAGGGCAACTTGTGAAGGTCAATTGATTAAATCTCAATCAATCAATCAAGCCACAGGCTTTAAGGTAGATGCATGGCGGCTGTAGCCATGTCCCTCCAGGATGTTCTGTTTTCTGCCAGCACTCTCCAGTCAGTTCCGCTGACCTATTTTTCATTCCCTTCCACTTGTATGTTTGTACTTGTGATAAATTCAGATAGACAAATTAACTGATGTAAGTACTTCATTTTAATAGACTTAACAGTACAACAGACCAGAGTCAGCTCACAGATGTGCCCGATGTATGTGGTACAGACTGTCATTCTGGTATAGCACTGTTCACCCATAACAAAAGCTGTATGTAGAGCCGTTAACAACTAGGATTTTACCATGGTAAATGCTGACAGAAGGAGGTCATGTACAACAGGAGAATGGAAGGATGGCGATTATTGAATCTTCATTTGCATATTCATGCCCATTGAACAAAATGAATACATTAGGGTTTGATGTCACATATGCATGTATACAATACTGAATAACATTAAGTACATTGGATACGTGCATGAAAATAACATAAGAAACCACTATGAAGTAGATTCTACCAAATCTAGGTCTTGATTATCACCAAGGCGCACGAAAATATGTGATGTTAAGGGGAAATCGTTTAGAAATAAAATCCTTTGTTACGTACCAGTCACCTGCACTGCCTCGTGCCGAGGTAAAAACCAGGAGGGACTCTGGACTCGGGACATGACTTTGCGTGTGTCAACAGTTAGGATGTCAGGGTCGGTTAGAACAGAGGCAGGGTCAGGGAACGGTTAGAATAGCGGCAGGGTCAGGGAACGGTTACTGGCGATGTAACAGCTACATGGGCAAAGGTTAGCTGTGGCAGGTCGCTCAGTACAATATGATATTCAGGAAGTATCGAAGCATCGCGTGCCTGAAAAGCTAGTGTGTTACGTTGAAGCTAAAATGGTTGTTAAACCGGTTATACAGATACAGATACAGGTATATAGGATACAGAAGCGGTATGTTTCGCAGGAGCTACGTATATAGAGTATGGATTATACTGGCAATACAATTATAGATCTTAGAACCTTAGATTCTGTGCTAAATAACACAAAGAATGCTTACAGAAAGCACGTGTACATGGAAAACACTTGGGTCATAAAAAGTCGCATGGGGATGTCCAACAAAATATGGGTGACAAAAGATTGAGTAGTTCCAAAGCTATTACAGTTAGTAGTAGTTCTAAATCTGATGCATTCAGTGGCAATAATGACTCCTACTATGCAGCCTTTACATACTGACGAACGCGTTATTTATCAGGTAAACTGTGACACGAGCAAGGGTTATATTTAATGTTTCCCCCTGGCTATTGGCTGAGTGAATACCTGAGTATTGATAAGTACTAGCGCTAGCGCTGTTATCAGAGGGGTTTGCACTGTAAATCTAGAGTAAACTAGCAAGGGTGAAGGGGCATGCGATGTTTTCTTAGTGAGTCGGTACTCACGGCACCCTACGCCAATCAGCAAACCGTCGGCTGTAGTTAAGAGAAGACCTTTGTTACAGAGAACACAACGTCCATTCTGCTAACCGCTGGCAACACGGTACAAACTGAGAACACGACGTCCATTCTGCTAACCGCTGGCAACACGGTACAAACTGAGAACACGACGTCCATTCTGCTAACCGCTGGCAACACGGTACAAACTGAGAACACGACGTCCATTCTGTTAACCGCTGGCAACACGGTACAAACTGAGAACACGACGTCCATTCTGCTAACCGCTGGCAACACGGTACAAACTGTTGTAATCTAAGCACGTTGGAATCTTGAAGCAGTGAAGATGTGGGTCGTCCTGATCTTGGTTTTCGGTCTGGCCGCCGGACCGGCCTCGCCAAGTAGGTGTTGTATCATAAATTCAGTTTTTATTGTGGTAATGTAAAAAAAAAAGATACTAAAAAAAATAGAAAGGTAAGATTTGCAAAGCAAAAGCATAATGTTTACCTTCGCATATGATCTGCTCTGTTAATCCTAAGAAAGACCTTACTCAAACAAATTCACATATAAGGTAACATGAGTCTAAATTCTCCTGCTATGAGTCTAAATTCTCCAGCTATAAAATTGCAACATGATGTAACCCAACACCAGTTACCATGGTGCGAGACGTCCGGATCAGGTCATTGACCTTTAAGTTATTTGTTTGAATCGAAAGAAGAAGAAGATGTGGAAATTGAGCAAAAACAACATGTTTTCCTTCGGTAAATAAAAAATATTACTAGATCAATATGGCAAAGTCCGTTTTGTTACGGTCGATATATAGACCGGCATGTGTAAGTTAAATATTAGGTTAAATCACGAGGGAAGAATTTGTTTACCAATATAAATGTGTGACCAAAGCAAATCTAAGATTGTAACTCTAAGTTTCGTATAAGAAAATTTTACTGATAAATAGTAATAGTGGAAATATTTTTTTCCATTTGATCGAATAAGTCCCATTTCTTACTATTGTTTAAATCGTCGCTGTTCAGCCGGAACGTTTCTGGCGACGTATTCAGGCTACGACTACTTCAAAGTTCCCGTTTCTGGGCAGATGTCAAGCGCGAACGTCAAGGTTACTTGTGACGCCGCTGGTTACGTCACACCGTGTCCCGGGGACGGGAACTGTCCGTATTCGTCAGCCGACTGTGTCCAGACCGGGCTTACTGCATGCACCTTTCCAATGAACGAAGTATCCCAAGTTCTGTGCGGTGACCATCCCTGGCAATGTCCCGCGTTTGACGGAGTGTACAGCTTCATGGCCGACTATAGCTCTGGATTTGCCTATGGTGTGGAGAGTGGTAGCACGACTGTCGGTAATAACCAATATGACCGTTACGCCTTCTGCGCCCGAGGTGAGTACATCACAAAGAGCATGGTGGTCAACACGAGTAATCTAACATCTGATATACAATGCATCGATGATATGCAAAACATGAATACTGATATATAAGGGCATGAAAACTACAGATCACATCGAAATAATCTCTCATCTGACAGATACTCTGTCAACTACCTTTCTTCTACCTTCCGATCATATTTTTAAGTTCATTTTAAGCAGTACATGTTCACGCTGATAAAGTGGAGCATCTTGAAACAACCTTCCACATGTTCGAAATTTGTTGTATTTATGATGTAACACTGCTATAGGTAGTGCTTTAAAACTATAATGACAAAGATTGATTTGGAATAAATTCCACTTAAATGACCTGATGGATTTTTTTTCTCAACCGTGTACCACCATTGGTGGCCTTTTTCCTCATTGAGAAATATATCTTTAAAGATAAAAAATAACACTGCACGATCAGTGAGGAATTGACTATTGAATTCAGATGTGTTTGGATTTACATTTTGTTCTTCTCTTTTTCCGTAGATCCTGACGACGACTGTGCCAGCAATCCATGTTGGTTCGGGACCACCTGTGTAGATGGGAACAGTGATTTCAGCTGTGACTGTCCGAAAGGGTTTGAAGGAAAGAAGTGTGAAATCGGTACACCATTTCTTATTCTACTTACTGTTATCAATGCATTAAACAGGTACAATACCTTTCATTTCATTTATACACTTAAAATTTTAACTTATATAGTTGTTATATTGCAAGTGAGCAACTGGCAGCCCACCGGCTGAATTGTGTGTTTTTACATACATACATACATACATACATACATACATACATACATACAAACATAGGGAAATAACTAAGCAATTACACAATGTCATTATCTAAAACCATGCATATGACCAACACATTCAATCAGTAGTGGCAAGATATTGGACCCAGTAGAGCATGGGGCATTTCAAAACCTAACAGAAAATCTAACAGGCTGCAAAAAAGGATTTGGTGGATCAGGGGTGACAACCTACACAGATTGAAGGAGGGTTAACATCCTATAGAAAGACAATTTAGGTGGATCATTAAGAGGAGGTAATCACCTAGGGAATTAATCAAACTGCTGTAGAAGGGTATGCTTTATATCTCCCTTGGGCATAAAATCAATTCAGGTGAATATTGACCTTATCTCAAGTAAAATGCAAAATATCGTAATTGATCATAGCACTAGGCTTTCCCTTGGGAATTGAAAAATGTTAACTACACGAAGGGGTGTGACCATCTCAATCACACAACATAAGGGGTGAGGCCATGGCATCATGGCCTCGCAACTCCT